GGATGGATGGATGGATGGATGGATGGATGGATGGATGGATGGATGGAGGGAAGGATGTTGGATGGATGGATGGATGAGAATCTTTCCTAACATATAATCTACAAACTGTGTATCTTCTAAAACACAAGATATTTCTAACAGAGGCTTGCGATCTCATCTCCTGCTGGATTAAATATATTTAAAAAACTATTAAGCATGGGCCTATGACAACATAAACATTCTTAATACACACAATTAGTTGTTTTTTTAATTAATTTATTAGGACTGCTTTTATCTTTCGCAACGATTGTTATTAAATGTTACCATAAGGAGGCATCTTTAAAGCATCTGGAGATTTTTGACGGACCCTCGTGGGGTCCTGAACGCAGCTTTAACTGATCTAGATAATAACTAAATATAAAACGCAGCATTTTAAATAAAGTTTTGTTTTATTCGATTTTAATCAATTTCACTAGCTTTACTTTTCATGTTTCCTCTAATAGATCTGTGTATTTGCAGATAATTCTCTCCTTCCTCTTGATGGAAGCTAAGGGTTAAAGCTGCCGGAGCTTTACGCACAGGTGTGGGCTCAGTTCTTTATGAAGCAGACTGTCGGCTGACTTTTCTTTTTCTTTTTTCTTTTTAATTAAGTTGATCATGACTGTAACTCAGCTGGGATTTGCTGTCCGTGCAGACAGGGGAAACTGTAACTCATGTAGCCAGACCTTCAGGGGGTTTTACGCACCACAGCCTTAAACTTGGAGAACTCTCCCAGATCTGGACCAGCACGCACAGATCTAACCTAATCCGAATGATTAAGCAGCCGATTGCAGGGAGTCTGAAGGATTTTTGAGTCACCCCCTTTGGATTTTCAGCCTTTGCCACTGCTCGTGGAGGTCCGCTCTGATTTGTGAGATGTGGTGGATGCTGTTCCCTCGATGGATTTGGTTCGTGCTCGGACACTTTTATCTTGTGCTGCTTTTTATGGACAGCTACCGTGTGACAGCCATGCCTCTGATGTCCGTGGCAAAGGTGGTGTATTCTCACGCAGGTATGTGTCCGAATGATCTGAACCCCAACCTGTGGGTGGATGCAATGAGCACCTGCACGCGCGAGTGCGAATCCGACCAGGTGAGTTTCCTTTCTCACTGCTGCCTCAGAACATCTCCAGGCTGTGCAGTTTGTCATAGGAAGATATAGGACAGAAAAAAACTAAAGTGACTGAAAATACAGGGAGAAAATGCTGCTTTTTATTCTATTAAAGTAGTTTTTGTTGTACAACTGAATGAAAAAAAGTTACACTGCAAAAACTGTCTTCAAATATCTCAATTTATTTCAACACGAACATTTCCTGCATTTTCAAAGCTTTTTAAAAGCCATGGGAGGTGTTAGATTTGATTCAATAAATTTTAATTCTTGCTGGAGTTGATACGTTCTGGCTTTGAACAGTTACAAGTAGATTTGTTAATTTAAAAAAAATCTAATGCATGCAATATTTATTCTGTTCTAATGATTTGGGTCAGAAAATGTGACATATGTGGATTGTTCTGCACACTAGACCAGGACTGAATCACTTCTGCCCAGTTTCAAACTATAAAAATGTTCCATTTAATAAAGTAAATAAGTTGCATGTAATAAATCTCAGGTCCATCTACTTCAACAATTCTAAAGAATCAATGTTCCTGCCACTACTAAACTTTGATCACGTGCCCAAATATTTAACAACTTAGAGATAATTGTAAACAATATTTAAAAAAATAGGCGAACACAAACAAAAGGACAAGCTACATTAGTTTCGGACAAATATATTGTGTTCCATTTGTATTTAGTAGGAATATTTTAGTTCAAAGCCAGAAAAAAAAAATAACCGGAGCGTCTACCAAAAGTTGGAGATTCCTGACCTTAAAATCTAATACGGCTGACTCGAGCATGAAAAGTGGAAATACCTTCAGTAATAAACACTTTTTAAAAACTTTTTTCAGTTTGCATCTTAGTAATTAAATCCCACACATAGTTTGAAACCACTTTTAGTGGCACTTTAATGTATAAAGCCTGGTCCCTGAGCACAACTAGCAAATACATCTGGTTTTACGAGTTACAACTGGATCACAGTAAAGATGGAGCTGACGTCATTCCCTGATCTGAGTTCTGACTTTTGAGGGGAATGACAGCAGCATACAGCTAATATTCAGCTCTGTATTGACCTCTTAGTTGATAATGAACATGCGTAAAATCAGACACAACACATTCCTAGTTATTTCCGGTCGTTCGATCCTTTACATCTACTTTATTTTTGACTGTTATATACAAACACATATGTAAATTAGTTTAATTATGTTGAAATGTTGCCATATATGTGTTGAAATGACTTCACAGCACACAGTTAAATGTGAATACTGTTTAGACGAAGTTTATTTCAACGAACCAGAAGTAAGCCTGAAACTATCTAGACCACAATGCATTGCAAAATATTCACGTTGAGCATTAACTGTAAAAAGGTCATTTTATTCACAGGGATGTTCTCACCTCCTAGAGGCACAGCTTAGGCTTAAATACCAAAATAATTCATATTTAAACCTGAATTTCTGTTAAGCTAAAAAAAAAAAAAAAAGAAGCAGGACACAAGCTAAAAACAGCAAAAACACAAGATTAAAAAGCTAAACGAAGCAAAATGTTAGCTTAAAGCTAAATGTAGCAACATGCTAACAAAATGCTAAAAGTAACAGACCTTTTCTGTTATCACAGAACATTTTAATGTGTTGGCTTTAAAGGATTCAAACAAACTGTTATGTGCTTGCATATTTCATTTGGCTTTAGGTTGAAGCCCAAATGTTTTGCCTGCTCTTTTCTGAACTTCAGGACTGTGAGGGATTTGAGAAGTGCTGCCCCAACGTTTGCGGCAACAAGAGCTGCGTTGCGGCACGCTACATTGACATCAAGGGCAACAAGGGTCCTATTGGCATGCCGAGGGGCGCCACCTGCGACAAGTTCATGTGCGCTCAACAGGGCTCTGAGTGCGACATCTGGGACGGCCAGCCTGTTTGTAAGTGCAGAGACCGCTGTGAGAAAGAGCCCCACTTCACCTGTGCATCTGATGGCATGACTTATTATAACAAGTGCTACATGGACGCGGAGGCCTGTTCCAAGGGTATCTCAATCTCTGAGGTCACCTGCAGGTAACATGTTAAGTACTTTAGATTTTATTTATTTGATTTAATGAGGTAAAGATGCTTAAGTTCTCTAAACAAAACCAATTATCTGATTGAACACCTGAAAAATTTCTATTCTGTGTGTGGCCTTAGCAAGAGTGGGACGCTGTGGAGATGCCACGAACAGTTAATGTCTTACTTGTTGTGGATAATTTGTAGCTTGGAGAAACAGGGGTTAGTTCTATTTTTTTCTTTTTCTATTTAGATCCAGTCTTAAAAATGTCAGAGTGATTCATTCAAATGATATATTATAAAAACATTTCCTGTATTTTCCTGTCCCTTCCAATATTAAGATTTCACGACTGGAAGACCCCAGGCTCAATCAGAAGTGCTACAGCTAGTTGTTCCTCCCACAGTCTGTGTTTGCAAATAACAATAAAGAGTAATAAGTAGGGATGCACAATATTATCGTCATGGTATCGGTATCAGCCGATAGCGATAAAGTTAAATAACAGACATCGGCCATTCCATCAAAATAACTCACCAATATAAAAGACGCTGTTTACACACACACACACACACACACACACACACACATATATATATATATGTAAACGTGCTGTTTTTGTATGACAAGCCATTGATAAGGATGCCTGCAGCGCCAGCACATTATGACGTCATACGCGTCATTGACTTTAGATTTGTGAAAATTTACAAATTTGCACAGTTCGAGTGTTGTCATTGCTTTAGAGAGTAAATGTCCTGAATAAATTTGATATTAAACATAATCCAAGTTGAAGTGTTACATCATTTTCAGTCCTTTTTTTTTTACATCTGCATTTGGTAGCAGGCCAAACTGACAAAGACCATGCAGAGTAATGTAGTATTTTAATTCCACAGCAGAGAAAGATATGTAGTCTCTAGGAGAAAAAAAAGGTATTGGTATTGGTTATCGGCCAAATAAGTTTTAACATATCAGCATATTGGCCAAAAATCCAATATCTGGCATCCCTAGTAATATCCATCCATTATCTTACATTACATTATTTTACCTGCTTCTTCCATTTTAGGTCATGGGGGTCGCCGGTGCCCATGTCCAGCAGTCACTGTGCGAGGGCTGGAGGACACCATGGACAGGTCGCAAGTCCATCACAGGGACACATAGAGACAAACGAGACAAACAAACATTCACTTTCTCACTCACACCTAGAGACAATTTTTAGAGTTACCAATCAGGCTAACAGGCATGTTTTTGGTCTGTGGGAGGAAACCGGAGTATCCGGAGAAAACCCACGCATGCACAGAGAGAACATGCAAACTCCACACAGAAAGGCCCCCGGACCGGGATTTGAACCGGGGACTTGCTCGCTGAGAGGCAGCAGCTCTGCCGGTTGCGTCACCGTGCTGCCACATCCTAGTAATATGATAATAATAATAATAATAATAAAAATAAAATAGTTCTGTGTGTATCATGAAATCAGCTGCAATGTATTTTTATTATTTATTTTTTATGAACTACTACAACAGTTTCCGGAGTCTTTTTAGCACTGCACAAATATACTTTGGTCTGGTCCTCACATTAGCTCATTAATCAGGTCTGGTTTTACAGCGATAGTCTTCTAACATTTATCAATAGTTATTACTTTATCATGTATTACCTAATTTATCTGATGGAACATCACTTCAAAAAAGGCCAAATTATACTTTTAACTCAATTTCTTCTAGCTGATATCATTCAAAGAGTTATCAACAACAAGTAAGATATTAAATGTTTATGATCTTCCTCCCAAAACCACACTTCCAAAAATCTGAACTATCTCTTTAACTGGCACTGATTTACTGTCCCATTTGATCAACCTACAGGTATCACCTGTCCTGGCCCAACACGAGTCCAATCCCCATGGAGACCACATTACATCCCACTACCGCCCTGCAGACCACCATCCCAACTGACATCCAGCTACCCGCCATCCACAGTGGGCCCACCAGACAGACCGTGTTTGTTGGTGAGACCGCCAGTTTCCTGTGTGAGGTGTCCGGAAAGCCCCAGCCAGAAATCACCTGGGAGAAACAGCTGAAAGGCAAAGAGAATGTCATAATGAGACCAAATCACGTGCGAGGTAACGTTGTGGTGACCAACATCGGCCAGTTGGTTATATACAACGTCCAGCTTCAGGACGCCGGCATCTACACATGCACAGCCGAAAACGTTGGAGGAAGTGTGTCGTTGCACCTTCCTCTGGTGGTGATCAGGAGAGAGCAGAAGGGGAAAAACACAGAGGGGAATAATACCAACCTGCCTTTCCCAGCTGCAGAGTGCCTTAAGGGTCCTGACACAGACGACTGCGGAGAAGAGAGCATTAGCTGGTACTACGAACCAAAGAGGAACAATTGCTTCACCTTTACTTACAGCCAGTGTAACAAAAACCAAAACCACTTTGACAATTATGAAGCATGCATGCTGTCATGTGGAGGGGAGCTGGCGGCTCCCTGCAGCCTACCGAGCCTTCAAGGCCCCTGCAAGGCCTACGAGCCCCGCTGGGCGTACAGCAGCAGCCTGAAAACGTGCCAGTCCTTCGTGTTCGGAGGCTGTGGAGGCAACGAGAACAACTTTGAGTCTAAAGAGGCCTGCGAAGAAATGTGCCCCTTCCCGAAGAACCACAACTGCAAGATATGCAAGCCTCGAGGCAAGATGGTCGCCAGCTTCTGCAAGAGTGACTTTGTGATCCTCGGGTACGTCTCGGAGCTGACAGAAGAGCAGGAGTCAGGCCACGCTCTGGTGACCGTGGAGGAAATCTTGAAGGACGAGAAGATGGGTCTGAGGTTCTTTGGGAAGGAGCCACTGGAAGTGACTCTTCTGAACATGGACTGGAACTGCCCCTGCCCCAACATCACCGTCGCCGACGGGCAGCTGATCATCATGGGTGACGTTCACAACGGGATGGCCGTCCTGCAGCCCGACAGCTTTGTGGGCTCGTCCAGCACTCGCCGAGTCAGGAAGCTGCGCGAAGTTATCCACAAGAAAACCTGCGATTTCCTCAAAGATTTCTCTGCAGTGCAGTGACTCACTGCGCTGAGGCGTGCCCGACTCCTCCCAGCTCCAATGACCTCATCAGACTCAGCCAAGGAACTCATCCTTTCAAATATACCGGTACATTGCTTCTTCCTCTCACTCAAAAGATCTTTTTGTCAAAAAGTATTTACTGTGCAAAGTATTTAATTTTGTTCTTTTCCAAATCTTTTACAAACTAATATTATTCATGTTGTTAGACTTTTTTTTTTTTTTTTTTTCGTGATTAGCATGTGTGCTTAATGTCCTTTTGCCACAGCTGTCCTCAGCTCACAGGAATTCAATGCAAAGCCTCAGTTTTTCCACCAGGATCAATAAGCTCTCTGGTTCCATTTTTTTTATGGAATCGGTTTTCATTTACAACGCTGAATATGTACGGGAACTTGTGTGTGTCGTATTTATTTTCTGTATCTCATTCGTAGGGCCTCGCCAGATGGATTTATATAGCTTAAATATATCTCTGTGAATCTATTTACTTTAAAAAAAACATGTTTTTTTTTTTTCCATAAAAGCCTGGATTAGTTGATGAATAAAGATGATTCTGAGTGAATTGTCTGCTCATCTTTTTTTTTAAATGTCTTTCCTCTGCTGGATGAAAGCAGAAACTTTAAACGATTTGTCAGTGTCTGTATTTTCTGGTCGACATCCATCTTTGTTCCTGTAATTCACACACACACACACACACACACACACACACACACACACACACACAC